AAGTGTTCGTTTCCGTGGGTGCCCCATCCATTACATGACAGCTATTTGCTTAACATCCTGATGTGCATCCCTTGCTTTGCAGATAAGCGCCGTCGCAGGGGGAGGGTCGGGGCTGTGCTCAGCAGGGCTTTGCAGAGTAAAACTTCAGCATCGCCTCCATGCAGGGTTGTGAGATGGGTTGCCCTGCTTACCCCAATGGGGGAAAACCCCACAAGTGAATCTACCGGGTGTCGGACCTGGTAGAAGGGCATGAGATGCAGAGCTGCCCTTTAATTTAGCTAAAAGACCTTTGTATAGCCAAGTTCAGCCCACAGGCACAGCCCTGTGAGATATAGTGATGCAATATACATAAGTTCTGGCTGCACCAGACGAGTACGTGGCTTTAATGAAATGATGCCTTCACCCCTCACCTTTGGGGAGCCCTGTGTGCCCCCCAGCTTCCTCCTGCTGCTCCCACTCCTCTGTGCACCAGGACTAAGGCAAAACCCCACAGAGCTGTTTGCATGCCAGAGCACTCGGAGGAGCTGGCGACAGGACAGCAGTGATTTCCATACTGAATAATGGAGAAGGGCAAGAGAAATAACAAATCATACATTTACAGACATATGATCCTGACTCCTTGGATGGTTTCCTGAGCACAGCTGGCACAGCCCCCAGTGCTGCACTTCAGGGCAATTCCCACAGCCAGCGCTCGCTTGGGCCCCAAAGCCCCATGCTATCCCTTTGGCCACGTGCACCAGTGGTGGTACAAGAGCTTTGCAGGGCAGCGAGCAGCACAGCACGCTCCTAAACACTGCAAATCTCTGCTCTTGAATGGGGCTTGCTGTCGGAAAGCCTCTTGCTGAGGCGTCTTTTCATGCTCCTTGCCTCCTAAACAACTTGATGATGCTTGACTGTAATCCTAAAATGTTTTAATGATGGTTTGTTTTCCAAGCAGGACATGCTTCTCCTCACCATGGTCGTCTGGCTCAGGCTCAGTGCATGAGGAGCCAGTGGGGTCCTTGGGGTGCGGGGAGGGTGCAGGGTCCCTTTGCTGATGGTGCTGCCCACCCGCTCCCAGTGTAGCAATGGGGCTCTGCAGGGACAGCAAGGTCAGTCTGGGATGGTGATGGATGGGGGTGGCAGTGGCAGTGTGGGTGAGCATCTCTGCTGGGTGCCTGTAGATTGGAATTGTTTCTTGCTCTGGCTGCCAGATGCAAGCCTGGATGGAAGTCACAGGGAGATATTTTGTGCGTGCAGAGCTCCGACGCAAAGCTGGAACACTGCATGATGCACGCTCTGTCTTGCTGGGGACAGCTGAATCTGTGGGGCTTGGATTCATGCTGTGACCCCACAGATGTCCTCATGCTACCTCCAGTGTTAGGTCCTGTGGTGCTGAGCGAGGCGATGCTGCCGGTTCTGCTGCTGGAAGCCCTGCGTGTCCTTCCCTGGCGCTGTGCTGTGTCATTAATATCTCTGTCACAGGGCAAGTTGCAGGCGAGATAATATTGATACAGCCATTAGAGTGCATGGAGAACAAGAACGAGGCGCGCTGCGGGGGGGTGCAGGGCTGGGGGCTGCTGATGTGCAGCAGGCACTGATGGCACCCAGACCAGCAGCGCCCCTCTCTCTGCCCCATGGACACTGCAGCCATGTGCTCGCTCCCCTGGCACCAGTGCACGGTGCCGATCCCCCATCTCCCACCCCGAAACAGAGGATGTGCCCCCCTGGCACTGCACCTCCCGCTGCTGCTCCCGCGCTACCTGCGCCACCGGGAGCCCTGAAAATAACACACAACTGCTTAAGGATGTGAGCTCCGTATTAAATCTCGGTGAAAAGGAGCAATTATGCTGTCAGAGGAGGTGATACAATTTGGGAGAGCTCGTTGCGCAGCTGTAATTTTTTCCCACCGTTGGCTGCGGTGTGCAAAGCTCCAGCATGGGCAGCCTCAGGCACCCCAAGGCCAGCTCTGCCCATGGGCAGGGGCACATTTCTGCCCGCTGTGAACACTTCATACATGCTGGGAGCGTGGGCTGCCCGCTGCTGCTGGTGCCCCGTGCCTGGGGGCGCAGTGCTGTGCTGCAGCAGCATCCCAGTACGGTGCTGGTGTGGGTACTGGTGTGGCTGTGGGTACCGGTGTGGGGTACAGAGGGTTAATGCTTCCATTGCTGGGGGAGAGTAATTAAGTGCTAACTTGTCATTTTTTTTAATGAAGTACCGGAGCTGCAGATTTATAATTGCTAATGAGCCAGAATAATAATTAGTTGTTTTTTAATAAGGCCGATGATCACTCGGAGGGAGAAGAAGAGCCGGGCACTGCTTTGGCCTAATTTTTCTTGCAGCGTGTCCAACTACCCAGGCTGGCCTTGTCCCCACAGCTCAGCTCTGTGCCTGGACCTCTCCCCATGCACCCTGGCTCGTGTCCCCCCTCAGTGCCCCCTGAGCACCATGGTGGCTGCACGGGGAGGTGACAGTCCTTCTCCATAGGAATATCAGGATGCTGAGGTCACCTCCTGATGGCACTGCTCAGGGAAGTGGTGGCACCTGGGGATGAGCCATGAAGAAGCCGCACAGGGGGCATGGGGAAGGCAGGGCTGAGACAGATAACTAATTGGGATAGCTGATTAGGTAATTGCAGTTGATTAGCTTTGATTAGAATAAGCCTTAGCCAAGGCTCAGGGAGCCAAGCTCCACGTCAACCCCACTGCAGAGCCCTGGAGTGGCCCAGGACCCCCATCTGCTCCCCCTTGCCTCAATGCGTACCTTTCTCATTACATCAGAACAGAGGGAGCTGCCAGTGGTGGCCTCCAAGGAGTCACCAAGCAGGCGGTGGGGAGCAGGAGAGCTCTGTGATATTGTTTCAAAGAATTAAAAAAAAAATAAAATAAAATAGCACACACAGAAAGCAGAGATGGAAGCGACAAAACTCAGCAGGGTGTTTTCATGCCCTTGATTTTTCTACTGAAAGAAGTAATTAAGGCATTGCAGGTAATCTTCAGCTCTCCGAGAACATCCCCCGGCTCCAGCGTGGCCCCAAAATGGTCTCGGTGGTGTTTCTGCCCCTGGGTGCAGCTGGATCTGCTGGGCGAAGTCGGTTCATTGGAGGGGATGATGCTGCAAAATGCTTTTGGGATCGATGGAAATGGCTGCTTTCCTGCTGGGCTGTGTCACCCCGCTGTCCCCTGAGCCACCCCCCACCTTGTCCCCTTACTTTACTCTTTGCCATTTCACCCTGGCCATTTCGAGGGGATCTGGGCACCAACAGGCAGTTCCTTGGGGCAGGGAAGTGCTGTGGGGTCACCACCATCCACACACATCCCCGTCTCCCATCCCAATAAGCATCAACCCACCCTGCTCCCAGACAGCCCCATTAAAACAGCATGCGCTATCATTTCTCAAAGGCATCATTAAATTTGTCCGTGACTGAGCCAGAGGTGGTGGGGAACAGCACAAATGTTGTTGGGGTGAGAAGCGCTGGGGGCACAGCACTGGGACCCCCATATCCTCTCACCCCGCTCACTGCTGCGCTGCTGCTGTTCATGCTGCCCTGATTTCTGCTACTTCACCGGAGCTGAAGCCTGACCTTTTTTAATATTCGAGGCTGAGATTTCGGGGCCGGGAGCAACTCGGGGAGGGAAAGGTAGGAGAGGGTGAGGCGGAGGGGAAAAAGCAGCGCAGCCCCCCAGCAGCATCAAAAATCAACGGGGCTGAGCAGGGGCAGGGGATGCTCTGGGATGTAATCTGTGCTCGAGTGGGGGAGAACAGGGAAATGGCATCTGCAGCCCTTGGAAATCAGCATTTTCCTGCGGGAAAGAGCTCTGTGCGGTGCTGGGTGTGGATGCGGTGCTGTATGGGCACAAGGAGCCAGGGCTGGAGCTGAAGGTCAGAGATGGGTGGCTGCCCATTGAAAAATAAATGTGAGCTGTCATGTGCTCAGTACTGGGAGTGAGAGCAGGGCAGGGCAAACTCAGCCTGGTTTGAAATTGCAGCCCTGTGCCGCGCCACAGACGAGGTCCCGATAATTGCGCTTTCTTTTCTTCCTTTCTTTCCCTTTCCCCTGCTGAGCTGCAATAATTGGGTGCTGTCGCCCGAGCTCATCCGCTGCTGGCTGCCTGAAAGGAGCTCTGCAATTAGCGAGTGTCACCCTGTAATAAAGGCTTTAATATCCCCCGTCACGGCTCACGCTGCAGCTGCTCAACCCTGTCCTGCACTGCACGGCCTTGAGAAGCTCTTGCATGGCACATGCATTCCATCTTGTCCCATCCCATCCATCTTAACCCATATCCATCCCATCCCATCCATCCCATTCCATCCCATTCCATCCCATTCCATCCCATTCCATCCCATTCCATCCCATCCCATCCCATCCCATCCCATCCCATCCCATCCCATCCCATCCCATCCCATCCCATCCCATCCCATCCCATCTCATCTGTTCTGCCCAGAGATGACATAACAGCCCAAGCAGATCTGGTACATCCCCAGCAGAGCCCTGGAGTCCCATCCTGACCCACTTTCCCCAGTCCCCACCAATGTTTCAAAGCCATTCCCCTCCTGGGAGCCCTGCATGGGGCTGGGGTTCTCAGGGTGCTTTAGAACAAATGCTCACAATAAGGTAATTATAGGGGAGATAATAAATGTGTCAGTCCTCCAAGAAGTATTTTTTCTGGGAGCAAAGGGGGAGCCCTGCCGCTGCATTGCATTCACACACATTACCATACATATTAATTAACTGGGTAAAAAGCTCCCCAACTCTGTGCCACGTGCATTATTTATGAGCATCTCGAGGTGCTGGTAACTTACAGGCTCTCCTGCTCTGCTCATTGCCTTATTTCCCTAGATGTTCTCACACCAGATGCTGTGTGTGGATGCTCTCCTGTAGGGACTTGCTGCTGGCTGGAGCCGAGTGCTGAGATCAGACAGGGGAAGAAGTGGGGTGAGCTCACGCTTGCACCTCCTGCTGGGTGCCGTGGTGCAGCCCCACAGCAACGGGATGCATTCCCTTGCCTGCAGTCCTGCTGCCCCCTGCACAACCCCTCGCTGCCCAAGCCCTTGGCTGAGGCTCATCACGTCTTCCTGTTTATTTCTGATGAGAGCAATGACCGCGTCTGCAGGGCGCATCCCAGCCTTGTGTGCTCACAGCCACATCCAGCTGGACCCAGCTGTCCCCCGAGGGGATGCCACGTATCCCCCCAGCCATTGGGATCCGTTGGGGTGTTGTTTTCCTTCGTCCTTGGACTCCCCAGCACAATGGCTGTGCTCAGCCCCAGCGGCTGTGCGACGCCTCTGTGTGGAACGAGATTTAAAGCGGCGCAGCAAATAGGTGATAGAAAAACCAAACTCTATTAAAAACCCATTTTCTGCAGGTGAGTGGGTCCCCAGCAGGTCAGGGGTGGGGAATTACCGTGGTGTGCAGGGAGTGTGTGTCTGATTGCACGTGGGGGCTGGAATGGGGGCTGAGGACGGGGCATTGACCCCAAGTTGGGTCCTTCTCCCCCCCCTCCCCAGCCCCCATCCTGGGCTGTCAGCATCTCCATGCATGGGGTGAGCTCAGCACACGCAGCCACAGTCCCGCTCCTGGCAGCCCAGAGCTGTGCAGTGGGGAAGAGGAATTGGATGCCACTTTATAAATCATTGTCTCCCGTTAAAGATGGAGTTTTAACCTTCCCGGCTTCTGCCTGGGGATTTATTAGCAGTTTCATTTCCTGCAGTAATAACTCATTGCACTCACTGGAGTAGGCGACAGGGGGGGTCCCCTTCCAGCTGTGCCATGCCCAGGTCTTGCACTTCCCTGTTCACGGGGTGAGTTCCCTACTCTGGGTTGTGGAGACCATGGGATGGACACCCTCAGCCTCGTGCATGGGTGCTCCTCCCCAGGACCCCATTCTGCAGTGATAATGGGGATACGGATGGGGATGGGGATAGAAATGGGGATGGGGATAGGAATGGGGAGGAAATAGGGATGGGGTTGGAATAGGGATGAGATGGAGATGGGGATGGTTATGGGTATGAAGATGGGGACAGAAATGAGGTTGGGTCAGGAACAGCAGTGGCTTTGCTCATTCTGGCTGCAAAACTCCTCGTGTCCCCAAGGTCCTTGGCTCTGCCTGCTCTCCTTCCCACACAGACCTGACAGCTGAGGGATTTTCATTCCCCAAAGGATTTCCCTTAATTAGGAGCCTTCATAAATCACCATCACACGCACTCACAGGCACTTAACTCCATCTCTTCAAAGGCTCTGCCCACCCACCCTGCCGTGGTGCTGTGGGTGGGTGCCGGTGCTGCGGCAGCGTGGGGGCACTTTGGTGGGGATGGGGCACAGAGGCTCTGCCCATCCATCCCCAGATGGGGATCCATCTCCCCTCCATAGGGCTGAGCGAGACGAAGGAAGTCCAGGGCGAGTTTCTGCCCCCTGAAGTACTTTTCCCAATAATTAGGTCTGTGCTAAGACGATTAAGAAGAACTTTAGTGATGGGTTTTATAATCCTTCCTGAAAGGGAAATGAGCCTCCAGTTCCCTCCTCGCTGTCCTGCCCTGTCCCCAGCAGGGACAATCCCACGGTGACCCCGCACTGCCGTCCTCCTGGCACCTCCAGGCTTTGCTCATTCTGTCACTTGGCTGCGGAGCTGCTGTTGCACACAGAGAGCAGAGCCGATGGTTCACAGCTGCCTCCAGGGTTGGGATGCTTTGGTGGCAGTGCCATCAGGCAAGCAGTGTGGAGCTGCTGGATTCACAACGGCAGTGACGACAGCGCAGGCTTCCCGCAGCCTGTTGAGCGCGTGGCCGGGAAGGAATTGATCCCCACTGCTTCATTTATGAGATGGTGTAATGCCACGGAAACCGTTTCCGCAATATCCCAAACTAAATCATTTATTCTTGACAAAAATCCAATAAAGAGCTCAGTCCTCCTCCATAGGCAGATAAAGCCCAGATTAACGGGACTGCCTAGATCAGAAAGAGAGAATAAGGAGGAAAAGCTGGGAAAATGAGGGTGGGATGTAAAGGAGAATTCTTCCTCATTCTCTCTTTCCCAAGGCTGCTGCAGCTCAGGATTTTATTACAAAAAGCCACCTAAATATTACAGGCTAATCCGTAAATCCCAGCCTAGTAAAATATGTGATGGATTTTGTAAATTGTGCCCTTTACAAATCTGATTGAACTCCTTTTTCCTTGCTGGTTTGCTTTTCTTCTCCTTCCTCTCTCCTCCTCCCTGGGGATTTTCTTTACCTCAAGGACCACGAAGCCTTTTGGTGCCACTGTCCTGGCTCTGCTGGGGTGAGAAGGGGATGGGGTGGAGATGGGATGGAGATTGAATGAGGTGGATGGAGATGGGATGAAATTGGATAGGATGGATGGAGATTGAAGGGGGTGCATGGAGACGGAATGAGACGGGGTAGGGTGGGTCGAGGAGCTCTCCAACTGGCTGCAGCCAGCTGCCTGCATTGTAATTGCTGCTCTCCCCATCCTTCCTCTTAGGCTGCTGGCAGCTGGCTGAGCAGAGGCAGGAAGGAGGCTGTGAGCACTGAGACATGTAGGTGATCTCCCCTTCCTCAACACAGTTTGATTTTAGGGCTTTCTGCCTTCCTTGAGCTGCCCTGGGTGTTTTGGGGCTGGTGGAGCACAGAGATGTACCCATGGGAATGGGGGTCATCTGGGTGCTTCTGGGTGCAGCCCAGCATCCCTGCTGCAGATCCTTCTCTAACGGCACATTTCTGTGCAGGAGGAGGACAAACTCAGGCACATCTTTCCTTCCTCCAACATTATTTCCTGTTCTTTTATTAAAGCAAGATGTTGCTGGCACATCTCATGCTCCCTTCCCTGTTTTTCCATCAAGAAACTCTGCAGAGGAACATCTGGCAGCAGCTAGTGAACGGGATATTCCTGCCTGTGGCAGCAGAGATACTGGTTTCCTTGCAGTGGTTGGGGGCAACCAGTAAATGCCAGCTATCCCCATGGTGACTGTCTCACTCCGTGGTGACACGGGTGGCAGTGAGGATGGGGACCTGCTGGTGTTGCATCCTGCGTAGCAAACCAGAGAAGGAAAGAGGAGGACCAGCTGCCACGTCTCCAATTGGATTTAGTTTCACCCCGAGCTGCTTTTCCTTTTGGTTTGCTCGTAGCACTGTGGTTGGTGGGAAGCCAGGATCGGAACAGTGGCACTGAGCCCAGCCCAGGTCTCTGCCAGAGAGCTCAGAGCCCACGGAGGTGGCCCAGCAGCCACAGGTTTAGGGGGAAGCCTTCCCCCAGAATTGTGCCTTGTCAATAAGCCAGTGGGATGAACTCACTGCAAATCCAGAGTGTTGTAACCACCCTCGAAGGAATAAGTTCTGGGTTAGCGTGCAAGCGGGCAAAGAAGGGCAGCTGAGCTCCTGATGATGAGGACAAGATAATGGGACAAGACTGCGTCTCAGCTTCACCAGCACCCCCTGGCACCGTAAGCAGGACAACTCGCAGCCGTCCAGCCCTTCCTTCCATTCCCTGCACCTAACGATGGGCTTTACTCATGCTTTGAGTCAGCGCTGGGGGATGCTCGGCTGGTAACCATGGCAACTGCCAGGTTCCTGTCTCCTTGCCCTTGTCGGTCACCTTGAGGTGTCACCATGTCCCGGTCACCGGCTGGCTGCCCTGTATGCCCCTGTGCAGCCATGCAGGGCTGTGGCAGCCATGGGGCAGTGCTGGGACCACTGCTGGCCACAAGCACATCCTGGCGTGGGCAGCACCCGGCTGGGTCTGGGAGCCCACAGGAGGAGCTGGAGCCCTGCGCCAGGCGCCCGCAGCCACATCTGCAAGCATTTAAGCAGGAAGCCCGGGCCAGGTCCTGCCAGAAATAGCTCTTGGTGTGTGCTCCCGTGCCAGCAAGTGATGTCATTTGCTTTTATTTCCCTCCCGTCTGCTCCTTCCCGTTGGAGACACGATACACTTGTCAGCCTCGTGCCGTGCTGGGGCTTTTGCTGCCTGTGCTGACGCAGCCTTGGATTTGTTGCTGGCACCTCAAGCAGACACGGGGCTGCTCGTGTCTCTGCCCACCTCCAGGACCTGCTCTGCTCCTCCAGCAGCATGGGCAAAATGGAAGAAATCCAGGCTGATGGCTGCTCATGAGCTGGGGAGCCTCAGAAGGGAAATCCTGGGGTTCACTCACCCTGAGGAACCCTATAGGGAGGGAACCCCAGGGGAAGGGGTCGTGCACACAGCTTGGGTGCTGCAGGGCTCGGTGTAGGAGCAGCTGGGTGTATCATGGTGCTGTCCTGCAGCCCCGCAGCTCTTTGCACTGTGTTGACTTGGCCACTGATGTGCAAGCACCGACACAGCCTGGGCGTGCAGCCGCTCACAGGCAGGATTCAGCCAGCTGGCTGCGGCCCCTCGGCGCACTCCAGAACAAGCACATGCCTCCAGAACGTCTCCACACAGCCTCTCAGGACTTGTCCCCATCCGTGCCGTTGCATCCCCGCCAGCTGCAGGCTGCCAGCCAGGGCGTCCCATGGCCGCAGACCGGCGTCTCCCTCAGGCTGGGGGTCACGGGGCTGTGGGCTTCCCGATTAAGTTCCTGCAGAAAACACAGCTTGTTGTGCTTTGTGCATGGGGATGGGCTGAGCTCCATAGCAAACGATGAACATCCTCACCGTCAGCTGTTGCATCCATCCTGCAGCAGTTTCTCATGGCTACAGGTCATGGTTCTAGCTGGATGCCTCTGTCACCATGTGCCACAGCGCAGGGTGGGCAGGGCAGCATGCAGGCAGCCACTGGCAGGTCGTGCTGGCACAGCCCAGGCATGGTGCTGGTGTCTGCCTGCACAGCCGCTCCTGCTTGGAAACAATGCTTGGAGTGGAGATTTGCTGCCATTTCATGGAAAAAATGGGTGGAGTGAAATGAATCATGCCCATACAGCTGAGCTGGGCAGAGCTGACTGCCTCTTCTTTTCCTAAATTCCTATTTCCACTGCTCAGTGCTGCCAGCCTCAGCAGAGCAGAGGTGCTTGGAGGTGCTGCCCACTCATGCCTGCAGCAGCTCAGTGCCAACCCTGCCCCCTGGCACTGGATGTCACAGTGGCCTCAGTGCTACCCAGCCAGTGGGACACGATCAGCCTCACGCAGTGTCGTGTCAGAGGGGATCTCTGAGGACATGTGGGTCCTTTGTTAACCCTGGGACATTCTGGCTGTGTCTTCCTCTCCATCCGTTACAGGAACACATGGCACCACATCCTGAAACAATTGCACAATTATGGACTAATTACTGCAATTAGATGATCAGTAGTCCTGCAAACTTGTGCCAGACCTGTGTCCAGAACCACGTTCCCCCAGTTCTTGCAGTGCCTGACATGGAGGGATGAGCTCAGCACCACAGAGTGCTCTCAGAACCACGGGGGCTCCAGGAGGGGCACAGGGTTGGGCTTGTGGCTTTGCTGACCTCCTGTAGCCACCTTGGCCAGCACACCCCTCCTTGTCCCCATCCCTGTCCCCTTCTGTGTTCCCATCCTGCAGGAGCTGCCGATGGCTGTGGGATGGGCACACGCTGGCAGCACCGAGGACTTAACGCTGCTCAGCCCTGGAAACAACGCTATCCGTTTCAATTAGAGCAAGCAGGGAAGCGGCTATTAAGTGCTTCGTTATTATGGTAATGGATCTACTCTGCATGCACGGGGGAGGCCTCGCACCCTCCCGCCAGTGTCCAATTTTTTATCTCTAATTCCTCCCCTAGGTCTTCTCCCATCCGTGACATGAAAGATGAAGACAATGGTGGCTCCAGCAGTGCAGTGCCTCTCTCTCATCCCAGAGGTGGAGAGGTGAGGGGCACCCTTGCCCTGGGGCTGTGCTCGTGTAGGGGCTCTGCTCAGTGGGATGGGGAGCCTTGGTAAGGATGTGCCCTGCAGTGCAGGACTGCCACGTGGGACTCTGCTCTCCCCATAGACGCTGGTGTCTGCCATCAGCGGGGTGCAGGGGGGAGGGGTGCCACAGAGCCGTGGAGTCCTTTCATCTGCTGCCACGTGCTGTCACGATGGGTGTTTAATTGGGATGTGCAGTGCAGAACTCGTGCCGCTGTGCTTTGTGGGGAAGCCGGACGGGTGACGGGATATTTCCCCATAATTGGCTTATTTGCTTGCCTTTGTAAATGCCTTGTTGATACAGGAATCGCTTATGATGACACGGCTGTGGGCGTGCAGCTGCCTCAGCCCCCCCCTTTGCCCAAATCTTCGGCACCCCCAGCGCAGGGCAGTGAGCAGCAGTGACAGTGGTGCACATGGAACCCATCCTCCACCACCACCATCCCCGTGCCACCGTGGGAGTGCTGGGGACAGCGTGTCCCGTGCTAGCGATCACGCTCAGCTCTGCTGTCATTGCTGCTGCCTGAGCCCCGGCAATGCTTATGAATAAATGAAATGAGAGTAAAGCGCCTGCCTAATGGAATGATGACAAATGTGTACCGAAACCGAAGGGAAAAGGGAACAATTTGAGTAATTCAATTATTTAACAGAAGCTTGTCAATGGTATGCGCCGGGGAGCTGTGACAGCGCAGCACCAAGTGCCACGGTGGGAGGTGTGTGGTGTCCTGGGGCAACCCATGGGACCTTGGGGACAGGAGAGAAGGGGATGCCCTGGGGTGGGGACATGCAGGATGAGAAAGGTGCATGGGAACTGCATGAGCAGCATGGAGACAGCACTGGCATGTCACTGGAGACCACGCTGGGAGGCGAGAGGGGTTCATTTGCACTTTGCTTGGGCTAGCATGGCCAGGACAGCCTTGCTAGGGAGGTGCAAATAGATTCAGCAGGAGTGCACTGCTTTTGCTCAGCAGAATTGCAGATGTCTGAACGCAGCTGGGGGTCTGATCCTGCTCCTCCAGGCCCTGCACACCACAGTGCTCATAGATGCTGCTCCTGTGGTGCAGAACAATCAGTCCAGACCCAGTGATGCCAGAGTTTAACGTCACGCAGATCAGCTCCAGAATTCGAGGAGGGGGATGTGCTCTGAAAAATGACTTCGGTTGGTCCGCATCTTCAACACCCAGTGGCCTGTGTCCCCATGGCCAGGCTGCAGCCACAGCACAGGGACAAGGGCTGCCTGGCCTCTGTGGGGACCACCCCTGTGAGCAGCAAGTTGAGGCTGGGGTGGGTCCGTTCCTCCCTTTAGGAACTGCAGCAGTGATGAGGTCCTCCACCTCCATTCCGCACCACATCCACAGTTCAGTGCTTGTCCCCTCCCTCGTGTGCCCAGAGGTGACAAAAGCTGGCAGGGGACGAGAGCGTGTCATTGCAGGCAGGCAGCTGGCAGGGGACACAGCTCTGGCAGCCAGCTCTGTGCACGCCCGGCTGCTCGCTGTGCTGCCTGGGGACCACTCACTCCCAGCTCACATATGTTGCGAGGACACTGGGTTTGTTCCCCTCCAGCCTCCCTTGGCCATGAGCCATTGGCACTCTTGGTCTCGAGTCATGGCACCGAGATGCTGGCACCTCCCCCCGCCTCCCCTGGCAGCGTGGTGGAGGGGACATACAGCAGAAGCAGACCCCAGGTGAGCCCTGCATGGATATGAAGGACGTGCCCCCCACCCTGCCCGTGCCAGCAGGCGCTGAACATGGAATGAAGAAATGAATGTGAACATTGCACAGGTGGCCGGGCAGCACACACTGTGACAGCTGGTCACCTTCACAGGGGACAAGCAGTGCTGGAGAGGCTGGGTCTCCATCCTCATGTTGTGAGGATTGAGAGAGAGGCTCCCGTGCACCCTCATCTCAGCGCATCAGAGGGCTGTGCTGTGGTGTTGTTTATGCCCAAGCAGCCCATAGATCTTGTGGCTGCACAGATTACGCAGCCACTCGCAGCCCCGGACAGCAGCTGGGTTTCCTCTGTGTGATTCAAGGCCCAGACGGCACGCAAAGGAAAGCAGCTGTTTGCCAGAAAGGCAGAGCCCTGCCGTGGGCACCCATGCCAGCAGCCCTTGCCAAGGCAGCAGTGAGAATTCCCCGCTAATCTGCAGGGCCATGTTCAGCAGGAGCCATTTGGATGTTGGCATCTCCTGTGCCTGCTGCTTTCTGGTGCCTGTACTGGGGTACCTGGGCTTGGTGAAGCCTCCCAATAAGCTCTGGTAGCGCTGGTTTCTGGGGGAGCCTTTGTAGGGATAGAAGAAAAAGAGATGCCCCATGGGTTGAGTGCCAGCTCCGAGCCCCACAGCGACACCCCTCCCTGTGTCCCCACACATCTCAGCGGGTTGGGACTGTTTGGAGAGCAGACAAACGCCTGCATCAATCAGCGCCGGGAGCGGGCGCACAGCCGGGTGATTTAGGTGACTGGTCACCGCTGTAACCGATGATGAGCCGCGAGTCGGGGAGAGAGAAATAAGGAAGCGACACAGCCTGGCGTCTGTTTGCATAAACTATCTTATCCTCACAGAGGATACGGCACCGGGGGAGGTGATAAATCCCCCTCTCCGCGGCTGTGTGCGGAGATTAGATGGCTTTTGAAGAAAAGCAGTGGCTCAGCCATGAGTTACGGGCAGGGAGAGCTCGTGTAGACAGCGGGAGGGGGTCCGGGTGGCTGTGCTGGGGCTGTAGGACCCTGGGGATGTCGGTCCTGTGTGGGTGACGCTGCACAGATTTGGGCAGGGTGGCACTGCCTGGCAGTAGGTGGCTCCCACCTCCACGTCCTTCCATCTTCCTTAGCTCTTATTTGTGAGCGGGCTGCAGCCCAAGCTCAGGAATGAGGAGGAAAGATGAGCCAGCCTCCCCGAGCCTGGTGGATCTGGGTATTTCATTACCTGCACACCTGTTCCTGAGTGCCATATGGGCAGAGGTAAATAGGCGGTAATTGTTTATCCAGAAGCGATTCTGTGATGCAGTGAGAGCAATCTCCAAAGAAGTCACCTTCCACAGCGATGCTGCGGCCAGAGCCCAGGTGTGGGAGGAGGATGTGGGGTCCCTCCTGCTTCCTCACTCCTCTCCTTCATTCTGCATCTGGGTGACACCAGCACAGACCAGCGGAGCATCCTCCTGCAGTGCCATGGGGTGCATGCCAGGTACCCCATCTCCAACTGAATCACAGCACAGCCATTTCTCCCCAGGGGGAAGGTGTGCAACAGCTTCCATGTGCCCCTCATCCCGCCTGGGCCAGGCCTTAGTTTGCAAAGGGCAATTGCTCCCTGCTGTGCTAGCAGACCAAGCCCAATGTGGGGAGGAAGAAGGGTGTCCCGGCAGCTGGAGCCCCACGCTCAGCTCCCAGCATGATGGAGAGGCTGTGGCTCTTTCAGGGACAATTAATTCTCAGCAAAATAGAGGCGTTTGCTTGCGCCTGAGTGGTCCCCAGGCAGTTGGAGCCGCGTGCTGCAGGGGGATGCTGCAGGCTGCAGAGATGAATGGCTCTCCCCCACCGCTCCGAGTTTGCATTTCTCTCCTCCTCTCTCCCTCAGCTGTGTAAAATTTCCCCCTTTTCACTGAAGCGCGTGAGCCGTTCTCTGTCCCCAGGCCGTGATGCTCACGTAGCCGAGCACGGCAGATGATTTACGCAGAGATGATGGACGACCTGCTCGTTCATCTGAGTTTGTGCCTAACACCGGAGCTGTGATCTCCCTGCAGGGAGAAGTGATGGCTCTGAGGAGGGGAGCATCCTCCCAGCTGAGCGCTGCCTGTTTCGTTGTGTTGCAGGAGGAGAGGCAGCAGCACGTCCTGGCACCGCTTGCATGCTGGATGTTCCTTTTCTCCCTTTAAATGAGGTTTTTAAACAGCTTCCCAAATCGATCCCCAGCCTCCCATTTCCTGCCTCTGCCTTGGGTTAATGGCAGTGAACGGGTCCCCAGGCCCTCAGCAGAGCACAGGCTTTGCCCTTAGCAGTGCCCCCGTGTGAGCAGGGGGGGCCCATAGAGGGTGTGTGTGTGAGCAGTGTGTGCACACAGAGCCTCTGCACGCACGTGTGCCAGGCGCACCGTGCATGTGCCTGCGCATCCCTATTTCGGAGCGTGCACGCTCGCTCCCTCTCTCTAGATGGGTGTGCATAGCTTTATGACATCCGAAATGGAAAAGACAATTGGATGTCAAAACCTATCTGAGGAGCCCATTTATACCCACCGACTTTTATGGGATTCCCGCTGATTGATGCAGGCCCCATAAAACTTCCCGCAGCAGCTCCCACCCCTCGCAGCCTGCTCTGCCTCCTCGTGCAGCACTGGCAGGGATGGGATGGGATGGGGTGGGGAGCCCTCCCCGCCTGTGTGGCTGCTTCCCATCTCCTGATAAGGGATGCGGTGCATGTGCAGCCGTGGCAGGGGCTCTCCCGCCGCCATCCATCATGCTGCCAAAGCATCAATCAGGCGACGGCCAGCTCTGCGTGCAGCCCCCTCCGCAGGGAGTGCAGCGCTCCGTTCGGAGCCTCTTTCGTCTCCTTGCAGAGGTGAATCTCACGCAGCTGACACTGGCTGATTGACAACCCCACGTGCTATCTGGGAGACCAACGGCTTGGCACTGTCCTCAGCAGCACGGAGGCTCTTGCCCCACGCTTGTGCTGCGGGGTGAGGTCCCCATCGAATCCCCATGCTCCCATGCTGAGTGTGTTATGGTGTCAAGGAGAGGTCTGTAGGGCTGCGGTGAGGCTGGCGGTGTGTGTGTGGGAGGGATGGGGAAGCTCTCGCCTGGGGCTCGCCAGCATCAATCACTGCAGCTGCTCTTGCCTAATGGGCACCAAGCAGATTGGGGAAGGCACTCCATCTCCATGTCAGCGCAGTTTGTCATCATCAAACTCCGGCAGCAGGGAGAGCAGCCTGGCCAGCAGGGAACAGGAGGGAAACGTGGAACTCTACATCCCTGCAGCGCGGCTGGTACCCAGGCTTTGGGTAGCATCAGGTTGTCCCCTCACCCCGGGACAGCTGAGAGACGTGGCACTCCGTGCCATTTGTGTGCAATTAAAAAGCGGTGTGTGGCTGCAGAGATCCCCATTATCTGAGCACAGTAACACAGCACATGGGATCTGTGTCTGCCCCCAGGATGAGCACAGCCACGGGGCTGGTGCAGGTCTCCATGTGCCACATGCACACTGTGCAACCCATGCATAGATTGGTGTAGAGCCCTGCACACCCCGCTGTGGGGACGGGCCATGGAGCAGGGTGGTGACAGATGTCCCTGGAGCCACTGGCACTCGTCAGAGCCACTGGGGCAGCTGCTGCCCGACGGCTCTTCTTCCCATGGCTGAGCACGATGACCTTTCCCTGTGTTTTGCGGCTGAGTCCCAGCCACTGTGCAGGGAGGGGCCGGGGGGGTGATGCAACCCCTTCCCCCCTGCCCTCCCAGCCCTCTGCTCCCCAGCCCTCACCCAGCACCTATTAATATTTATACCTCTTGGTGTATGGTGAGAGCTTGGACACAATCAGGGCACTGCAATCACTGCACGGGGGCAGGCA